AACCTAGTAGTTCGAAAGCATGTAAAAATGCAAATAGAAAAAAATAGGAACCACCTTTGGTGGGAAAGTAACAGTGTTCCGTGCACCTTTGGTGATTAAATCATGCCGGCCATGGAAACGTCTTCAGACAGCGCTGACTCTTCAGCTTTGAAACAGAGATGAGCACCGCCCCCTAGAGTCAGGAACGACTAGCACATAGGTGCAAGGGGAACCTTTACCTAAGGAAATTACCCAAGTAAAAAATGAAATAAGATTAGTCTTACAAGAATTGTTCTTCACAAATCCATGCTGATTTCTAGCAATCACTGCATTGTTTTCAAACTCCTTATAGATCAAGTTATTAAAATGGTATTGCTCTTGGAGTGACTGGTCTGTAATAGCCTGGATTTTTCTGTACAATTTTTTTGTTATTATTTCTGTGGATGCTGGTAGTCTTGACTAACTTGTTTTTTCCAGACAACCAAATCAAGACTTTTCTAATCTTTCCACCCATTCTGTGCTGCCTGTAACTGGAGACCCCTTCTTAACAAATTGGCAGCATGCCCAATACCATTTATTTTTCCATCACTGATGGACGGTGATAGCAGAGGAAACCCATACAAGGGGAAAATATTTTGATTGTATTAATAGCATGAGACAAAGGAAGACCTTCCTTTTATCCCTTAAAGGTCATTATTCATGTCGCTGTGTTTAAGGGTGGGAGAATTGAAAGAACTGTCCTGTTCCACCCATTCTTTTGTGTGATTTGGAGGGCTGAACTGTGTGTTTGTTGGTAGGGGTCAGGTTTTACAGGAATGTTTAGCTCTTTGCACTAGAAAATGCTTCAGGCATTTTCAGGCATATATGCTAAAGGCCATTGGAGGCTACCCTGGATCAATTCCCACATTCACAAAAAGCCAACATCAGAACTGTTCTTGTGTCAATGTGAGTTGCAGATAAGCATAACACAGAACGTTCTTCTAGATAAGGGCTCAGCCTAGGGTACAACAACAGCCCTCTAGGAATACAAAGATTAGAAATACTGAAGCCAGATTAGATAATTTGACTCCCTAAAGCACTAAATATCCTGAGGTGACTGCACAAATCCTCTGATAACAGTGGATACCAGCTGCAGAAGGCAGCTTCAGGGCTTTTACAATTTTTTAGAAAATGACATACACATTCAAAGCAAAGAGGTTTATTGAAGGATTCTGACTATTTTTAGTTTGGCAAAAATCTTCCTGTGGAGAAACTGAAATAACAACTAACTGAATAACCAGTAAAGTGATCAATAAAGGTAGCCCTCGACTTGCAAAAAAATCATTTAGTGACCGTTCAAAGTTACAATGGCCCTGAAAAAAGTGATTTATGACCGTTTTTCACAGTTATGACTGTTGCAGCATCCCCAAGGTCATGCAATCAGCCTGGCAACTGACTCATATTTATGACTGTTGCAGTGTCCCTGGTTCATGTGATCACCTTTTACAAACTTCTTACAAGCAAAGTCAATGAGGAAGCAAGGTTCACTTAACAACATTGTCGCTAACTTAACAACTGCAGTGATCCACTTAACAAATGTGGCAAGAAAGGTCATAAAATGGGGCAAAAGTCGCTTAACAAACGTTTCACTTAGCAACAGAAATTTTAGGAGTCAATTGTGGTCGTAAGTCAAGGATTACCTATAATCAGAGGTGGTATTATACTGGTTCAGACCAGTTTACCTGAACCGGTAGTGGAAATTGCAGGCAGCTGCGCCCACTTGCCCGGCTCTACGGCATCCCATTCAGGCCAAAAGCGCACGTGCGGAAGGCTATGCGTATGCACCGAGGTAGCGCATGTGAGCAAAGCGAGCACATGCATGCTCACATTTGCAAATCGGTAGGGAAGGTAAGTGAATACCAACCCTGCCTAACCTTGCCTGTAATAATAATGGTTTACACTGTCTTTTATGCTTTTCTATCTCCCAGCTATGCCATCATTGTTTTAGTTTATCTATTTAGATAATAATTATTTAAGTTATTCATTCTAGTAGTAATAATACGATAGCCTATCTTCTTGTAAAGATTTAGGACAATAAATCTTGATCCTGCTCCCTGCTCAGAGAAACCTTGTAGAAACCACTCTGAAGTAGTGCTGGCCGTAGAATGAACTTTTATAATCTCTCAGAAATTGGCTATTTTAAGATTGGCTAGATTAATGAGAGTTTAATGCCAATGAACCTGGAAGGCACTAGTCTTAAGGTTCTTCTGCAGTCAGACAAACATTGCCAAGAAGGGGGCACCTTTCATTTTACCTGCAAATAGGACCAAGCAGGTAATTATTTGAAGGATATACAAAACATTGAACTATTATATATTGAAATGAGTTTAATAATCATAATTTCTCATAGAAACATTAGAAATTTTTATTCTGATACAATTCAGGTGCTGTATATGATTTTTAGGCATGATGGTAAATTTGGTTGTGTTCAAGTCAAATGTTTCTTGAGGGATGGGCTTTACTTTTTTTTCTGACCTCAGTTTTGTTGTTATTTTTGAGTCATTCAGATGCCTTTGGCTCTTCGTGACCTGATAGATATCATTTTGTCAGTACTGGTCAGTGACTATTTCTTTGAGTTCTTGGAAGCTCACACTTGTGTCATCACTGACAGTATCTTGCCACTTATCTGCAGCCTTTTATTATTGCTTTTCATTTTCCCAAGGTCTTTTCTAGTGACTTGCCCTCAAATTAAGTATCCAAAATATTCAAGTTTCATATTACACTATTTAGTGTGGATTTGTTCTTTCTGCAACTAAAAGCATTCACAAAATTTTCAAGCATGACAATTTAAAGACAGGTTGTTGTTCAGCTTTTCCGATGGTCCAATTTTCCCGGTCGTAACTTACAACAGCTTTGGCAATACACACCATTGTGGGTCATATGCTTCTGGTGGCGATGTTGTTTTTGGTGGTCCATTGAGTCAATTTTAATTGCTGGTTACTACAATATCAAGTCTATGCACTTTTCTTGGCATCTAAACAATTAAATCATGGCAACTGGACCAAAGTTTCTTAAAATTGAGACATTTGTGGCAAGAGTTGGTTCATTCCAACGATTCTGTCTCTCTGCTTACCCAGAATTTTCATTTTGATTGAAGAAGTTACTTGGATGACTAATGCAATATCTCAATTTTAAGAAACTTTAGGCCAATTGCCATGATTTAATTGTTTAGATGCCAAGAAAAGTGCATAGAGTTGATATCTTTATATGCTTTTGACTTGGATGATTCAGTCTTCATTTACATTTCAGTTTTTGTGGCAATATTTCCAGAATTGGCTTGCCACTGACTTCTTCTTAGAGCTCAGAGAGAATAACCTACCAAAGTCACCCAGCTGGCTTTTGTGCCTAAAACAAGATTAGAATAAGTCTCCTGCCTTTTAATCCAGTTCTCTCAACCACTATACTGTGATATGTTGACTACATTGTCATAANATCTATCTATCTATCTATCTATCTATCTATCTATCTATCTATCTATCTATCTATCTATCTATCTATCATCTATTTTTTTGCTTCCTAACTTAAAAAAAACAGCTGCATAACTGTTCTCTCTTTTGCTGGGAATATAATTAAAATTTGATTAGCCTCTCCACAAATGATTAGCTGTATGTACTGAAATCTTTATACTATATATCTTTCTATAGTTTTGCGATTGACTATCAAAATTCACGAAAACGTATGATTTTAGCCTAAGGTCCTGCTCAGCACATAGATCATCTTGTTTAAGCATATTTTTAAAAAATATTCACTAGGTGGTGCTATTTTGTTGCAAAAAGATTCTAACTTCATAAATCACTTAGTTTAAATTAGATCCACTACCTCTTGTTCTATTGCTTTGAGAAGCTGATCCTCAATACCAAGATAAAGCCATTGGACAGTCATGGGATTAAGTCTCTGGCATGGGATTAAGTCTCCTGCTTGAGCAGGGGGTTGGACTAGAAGACCTCCAAGATCCCTTCCAACTCTATTGTTCTATTTCTATGCATCCATGCATCCACCTACCAACCCACTCATCCAATGTCAATTTCCATTTAGAGTCCATACTCCTGATGAAGAAAGGCAGGTAATGTTAGCTAATTGGGGGGGACAGGACTTTAAAAAGCCTCTTTGTACATCTGCAGTGTTCATTTCCATCACCAGTCAATAATCAAATAGTCAATAGTCAATAAGCATAAGTATCTCTGCAATAAAGCTACAGATTTATTTTTAACAAGGCAAAATACTGCATTTCATGAAGGGTCCCGAAGGAATGAGCCAAATTGAAACACTTAAAAGAGAGGTTCAGTTTGGGTTGAAAGAAATTGTTTCCACAGCCATATAATAAATGCAAAACCTCCCAGAGATTTTCTGCCCGTTTATTCACTATTCAGCTGCCTCATAAAAATAGATAAGACAGATAAGATAGATAGTATTATAATATATTATATAATATATTATAAAATAAGTAGAAATGGAAAGGGAGTTCCATTAATTTGCAGCACAATTCTAGGCAAAATGAGAGGCATATACTCGAACAGGATATATTCCAGGCAACCACAGCACTGAATGCTGTGATTCTACAGCAGCTTCTCTAGAAACAACCACCGTGAAAGTCAAACTCTGATTAAAGAGAAACGGTGCACATTCCTCTATTTTTTCGACTACCGAAAGAACCACTCTGATTGGATCTCGCGAGACTTCCCTGCTTTTGCATTGAGCGCCCGGAGGAAGTCCTTCCATATTTCTCGCGATATCCTGAAGACTCGCAAGGCGTTTGTTGCGGCTTGACTTAGCCTTCTTGAATTGACTATGGAAAGGGAGATAACGGAAGCGAAGACTGGAGCCGGGGCATTGTGATGGTGATTTGCGCGAGTCTGTTGAGGTTTAGTCAGACCCCGTGAAGAAAGTGAGCGTCAATCATCTCCTCCAAGTTTTAACCGCTAAGGATGGAGACGAAACGGAAAGAAACACGCAAGTCTTTGAGGATCAAAGTGATCTCCATGGGTAACGCTGAGGTTGGCAAGGTAAAAAGGGTAGGACTAGAAGCAGAGGCGCCTTATTGGTCCGAGGCAGGTGAACGACAAGCTGGCTGACCAATGAGCTCTCTTTGCTTTATTAGGCTGTTGTGACACTAGAGATCGTTTGTGGAATAGAATGTTGCGGTTTGTTTGGTCCGGAGAGATAGAGGAGTTGGGTTAAGGTGGAGCTTCCAAAATGTTTTGCTATGTATTATTAATTTTTATTTTATTTACCAAATTTATATGCCTTCCAAAAATCAAAATACTCGGGAGCATCATAAAACCAACAATTAAAATATTAAAAAACCCATTAAAACAATTAACATTAAATGGATACAAATGGATCATCTTTAAATGATATGGATTATTCCACTACATTTATCCACATATAAAGTCTGCAAGGTATGTTAGGTGAAGGCAGTGGCAACTTTCTTTGACTTGCTTTCTATCTAAATCTTTATCATATTTTGGCTGCAAATATCCAGACAGTCGCCAGAAGCAGCAAAGAAATACAAAACAAAATTCTTGGCTGCCATCGACTGGTCATGCAGATGGGGATTCCTGCAACCCAGATAGCTGGTGGTGAACATTGAAAAAAGATTCAACATACTAGAAGTCTTAAAGCAGCAAACAATCCTCAGATAAAATCACTGTGGCTTAATATAAAAATAAAAAATGGTGAACTGCTTCTCATTTAAGAGACTTGGCCAAGAAAATGGTTTTATTCATTATTTCAATGTATTAGTTATTTAGCCTGAGATTAATAGCATAAAAGTAAAATCTATATGATACAATACAACAAATAACAATTATAAATCTGTAAAAATCAATAAGTTCTAATAAATTGTGTCAAATCTGACATCTCTTAAAAGCTGAAACCATATAATCTAGAGCTCATAACTGGGTGATTTGGCTCCACTCTCAAGATGCAACATTGTAATTTTTAATTTTATTCTTCTCCTATTCAAGATATTAGATCTTTATTGTCACAACTTGTGGGGTAGTGAGGGTAGTTATTCTAAATTTGTCTGATATACGTGAATGTTATTACTGAGTTGAGATTTGTCCCGTGTGCAGTCTGATGTGTGTGCAGTATAGCATCCATCTTCCATTAAAGTAAAATTTCCTTGATCAGAAGATACAACACTGGATACTGTTGGAATTGAAAAGGGGTGCTACATGCAGATATGTACCTAACTTACTACCTCAAAAGTATGGAAAGATGGATCTAAATGTACTTCTTAGATTATACTGTACTACTAGAATTGTCTTTCTCAGTCCAATGCTCTTCAGATGATTTTTACCTTTCCAGAAGGCTGTGAAAACATGAACCAGGTTACTAATGGAACTCTGATGTGGATGCAGGCATATTAGTTAATTTTTTACGAGGATTTTTTTAAAGGAACTTGACCTCATAATTTTTATATAGTGGATTCTTCTTTTATTCTCTTTTTATCTGCTTGCTGACCGGAGTGTTTAGTAGATGAACAGTCATATAAAAATGTTACATAAGTGAAATACATAAATAAAAAAAATTAATGATTGGACTTCCCTGTCTCAAATGTACCCTGAATGCAAGCTTTAGCTTTAAATGCTGCAGTCCCTGCTGCACCTACTTCCTCTATTTTCTAGCAATTTAAAACTAAATTAGAAGCAGGGAGACCCAGGTTCTCGTTTTCTCTCAGGCAGAGAAGGCAGGTGGTTGATTGTGGGCCAGTTACTTCTTCTTACTCCTAATCATTGACAGGCTCTAGGACAAGCTGGCTGAAAAAATCAACCTTCCATGTTGCATCATACACTGATAGCTCCATTATATGAACTGAAGCGAGTGCACAGAAATAATCAGAATTTGCAACAAAGCGGAAGAAACACTAGAAACAACACACACAGAGACATTTTTAGATTTTTATTGTAAACGAGTAACTTGAATAGGCAGGAGATAGTATAAATGTTAATAATAATGATGTAATTCAACAGAAAGATGTGAGATTGCAGACGCTGCATTGCACAGTTTCTTAGCATTCATGCACATACATATTAGTGCTTCACAAAATTGTCGTAATTGTGGTTCAATAAATAATCATTAATGAGGATCACTCTATTAAACAAATACCCAGCCTAGTCTTTAAGAGCAGGGCAGCCAGCAAATAAAATAGTTATTACAATTTCACTCGTGTGTCCTTCTAATCCCATTTATTTTAATTATGTGAGTTCATGTGGGAGTTGTTGTCTTTTATGTTAGGGCTGTGCAGAGATCTGGATTTGTAGAGGAAACGGTAATTCAGAGCTACATGATCCTAGGAAGGCACATTTGATTTAAAGAGGTGCCAACAGAGATGCAGGGCGTGACTGGAATCCCTTCAGATCTGGGTCACTGACCAGCTGTATTCTATTCATCTTGATCCTGGATTGTTTTAGCCTTTCAGAATTTGATGCCTTCCAGAAGTTTTGGATTAGTACTCTCATGGGCACAACTGGCCGAGCCAATGATTGGTAATGATAGCAGTCCCAAAGGTGCTTTTTCCAGAGGCAGGCGCTGAAGAAGCTTCTTGGATGAGGAGCCAAAGTCTTCAGAGAAAAACCAGAAAATCCAGTCGCCTCTGGAAAAAGCCCCTTTGGGACAACCATGACCTTGATGACTAATACGCTTCATAGTTAATGATGGCAGTTCAGCAAAGTCTGCTTTAAAGCATAGTAATTAAATGTTATTTAATTATTAAGTATTTTACTTCACTCTTCAGCTAAAGAATATTCCCATGTACAGGTAGTCCTCGACTTACAACAATTCATTTAGCAACCGTTCAAAGTTGCAACGGAACTGAAAAAAATGACATCACTTTTTTTAACACAACCGTTGCAGCATCCCCATGGCCACATGACCAAAAGCCAGAGGCTTGGTATATTTATGACAGCTACAGTGTCCCAGGATCATACAATCATTTTTGTGACTTTCCGACAAGCAAAATCAATAGGTTATAGGTTATCAATTTATTACATTTATATGCCGCCCTATTCCCCAGAGGGACTCAGGGCGGCTAACAAACCCAAGGGCGGGAGTAATACAAAACAAAAAGCAACCAACAAACAAGATACAGAGAGGGTTTAAAAACGATCAACAG